AAATCCCAAAACCCAACCCCCACTTAAAAAAGTATTAAACCAGATATCCATTAAAACAACTTAAAGTAAACATCAGGATAAAAAAAACAACTAGAACAAACAGTAAACAAGCACAGGCAGCGACAAAAGAAAATGAGAAAGGTAGAAATGAATGATGCATTTGGACTTCATTTGGATAATGTATTTGTTATCGTCGTGTGCCTTCAAGTTGTGTCCAACTTAATGGTGACCGCTTTCCTAGGGTTTTCTTGACACGATTTGTTCAGAGGAGGTTGGCCATTGCCTTCCCCTGAGGCTGAGAGAGAGTGGCTTGCCCAAGGTCACCCAGTGGGTTCAACTTTCATGGCTGAGCGGGGATCGAAGCTTGGTCTCCAGAGTTGTCGCCCAACACGACATCCATGCTGATGGAAAGTTAGACATAGACATCACTTTTGAGGAAATATCTAGAGGAGGTTGTTTCAGCTGCAACACCAAACTTTATAGATCTGCTTCTTCAGAATTTCCCTTGGCTCTCTCCACATGTCCAGACACGTGTTGGCCTCCCTACCTGAAATTCCTCCCTCATTTGTTCCTCTCTGAGCTTCCAAACAAACCTAGTCCCACTTCCCTGCTCTTTCAGTGCCATGCGTCTCCTCCCTCCGCAGTGCCATCTGCTCCGAATCTTTCCCTTCCTTGGCTTGTAATGTACTCTCTTTGCTCTGACACCTGCGAGGAGCCGTCTGCTCCATCATCGTGTGGGATGACACTCACTCTTCATGGATTTGGAAAAATAAATTAAATGAGGCTGAGGCAGAAAACTAGTGACACCACAGAGTTACTATCTGGAGTTGGCCTTGGAGCCAGGAGGGCTTAACTGTTTATTGCCAGAGTGAGCAAAATTAGTCCTTCCACCCTGGAGAGGTATAACCCTACACATCCACAGATTCCTTATCCATGGATTCAACCATCCATGGTTTGAATATATATATAGAAAAATTCCTAAAAGCTAACCTTGATTTTGCTATTTTATATAAGGGAAACATTTTACTACACCATTTTATTTAATGGGACTTGAGCATCCATGGATTATGGTGTCCACATGGGGCCCTGGAACCAAACCCTAGCGGATACCAAGGATACACCACTGTATTATCCCTGTGGTAGACTTTTAAGCTAAAATGCATCATCTCTGATTCAGTTGCATGGTTTTTGGGTGTGTGATGATGACTGGCTATTTTATTGAATTATTAATAATGTTCATATTTTATTGATTGTATTTTTGTATTTGTATTATATTTTTACTGATGTAATCCCACCTCGATCCATAGGGAGAGACAGGAAATATAAATACTAATATTAATACTAATACTACTAATAATAATGCAAGCAGTTAATGTATATCCTAATTTTCAGTTTTCTGAATGCTAAGTGATCCCCAAATCTATTCTTTTAACCTTACATTTTCCTCCCATAACTTTCTCTTTATTTATTTGTTCCAACTACAGGAGCCGAACCGGTCGAATCATGGAGTTGCTGTCCACCCCACACAGCATTGAGATCAACAACATCACGTGTGACTCATTTCGGATCTCCTGGGCCATGGACGTTGGAGACCTGGACAGGGTCACCCACTACTTCATTGACCTGAATAAGAAGGAGAACAAGAACTCCAATAAATTCAAACACCGGGTGAGCCATTCTGTTGGTGGAAAATGGGGGATCGGATGGAGCTAGGAGATGCTTTTAGGAGTCACACCCAACTCTCTGTCCCCTGGTGTATTGGACTTCAAATCCCATCATCCCCAGGCAGCATGGGCACCCCATGGACTGGGTGGTGGGAGCTGTAGTCCACATTTGCATCTGGAAGGCACCGGCTGGAGAAGGCTATAGTAACTCTTGGTGCAGATAAAAACAGTTGGATTACTTTTTGGGATCTTCCCTAACCATTGTCCATGCTGCCCGGGGATGATGGGGGCTATAGTACAACACACTTGGAAAAGCCTGTTGTAATGATTCCTCTACTAAAGACATAAAGGTGGTTTAATAAGCATTCCTCCACTTGGGACCTGTAATTCCACAAACAGAGGCTGGGATCTTTGAGAAAATTCTCAGCTCCTACATCGAATTACAACACCCAGAATTATTTGGAGGAAAGGCTGAAAACATATATATATTACAAACTTGAAAAATCTGCTATAGAGCCCTTATAAGTTTATGTTACAGGCCATGTCCTTTAGGTAGAAAACTAGGAGCAAGTGTAGGAATAAGATATAAAATCAGAATCGGTAATCCTTTTCTTGCTTTCTTAGACCTGTGGAATTATGAAAATTTCAGTTGCAAATTTAGGTTCCAGAGTGACTAGTTTTCCTATTGTATTTATCCTTTGCCTTTCTCAGTCAGAAGACCTTATAGTCAGATAGCATCTAAGAGTTCTTTTAGGCTGCATCTACACTGCAAAATTAATGCACTTTGACACCGCTTTAACTGCCATGGTTCAATGCTGTGGAATTCTAGGTTTTATAGTTTTGTGAGATATTTAGCCTTCCCTGTTAGAGAGCTCTGGTGCCACAACAAACTACAAATCCCAGGCTTCCATAGGATGGAGCCATGACAGTTAAAGCGGTGTCAGATTGCATTAATTCTGCAGTGTGGCAGTAGCCTCTGTCCATGGTACTTATAGTCACAGTGGGACCTCCACATTCGCTGGGGTTAAGGGTGTAGGACCCCTGAGAAAGTGAAAATAATGGAAATAAAACCCTCCATTGTATTTAAAACTTAAGATAACATCTCTCTAGGAATCTCTCCAGTGCAACTCTTTGACCAACATCCGACCAAAGTTGACCATAGAATTTCACTGGAGGACCTAGAAATGCCTAGAGAAGTGTTTTCTCTAGGAATTGCTAGGTCATCCAGTGTGACTCTGTTGTCAACTTCTTGCAGAGTTGCGCTGGAGGACCCAGAGCTTTCTAGAGAGAATTTATTAATCAAATCTGCAAAAGTCAAAGCCGCAAGCGTGGAGGGCCAACTGTATAAAGAAAGGAGACCTTCTGTCCGCACTTGAACTTGCTAGCAGGATCAAATCTTATGCACGCTGCCTTTGATATAAATTGGTCCAGAGCAGTACGGCATCCTTGGAAATCTTGGAAATAAAACAGGGCAATGGACCAGTAGTTAGAAAGGCAATTTGAACAGGTCTCTCCCTTGCAAGAAGAAATCCATTTAGGAAAGAGGCATGCAAGAAAGTGTCTTTCTTAACAAAGGCAGGAGAGTCGCGAAGGGCATTACTCACTTCTTTCTCCCTCTGAAGTGGAATCACTAATTTTGATGCTACTTAACAGGGTTGGTTGCTATAGCAATGCTATTTAATGTTTAACATTCTTTCTTTCTTTCTCGCTCTGTTTCTCTTGGTTAGAAGATCTCCCCCACTCCCTTTTTTTGCCTGTCTCCTGACTCTTCAGCATTTGTCGTTGCTACAGAAACTGCACCGCAGTGCAGAGGGGTGTTTGTGGCTTGTTGATGTGGCAAGGTTTTCTTTTAAAAACAAGATATTTTTTTCCCAGGCTTTTCACTTGTAGAATTTTGTTTGAGCATCGTAGCCGCTCCAGAATAGTATCTTTTTAGGCCTAATTCTTTTGGCGATGGACAAACTTTGCTATGGCTGTGCCACTTCATGTATAGCTAGTATGATGGGCTTTTGTGACTGAATGCTCTGTCATTTTTATTTTGAGTCTCTCTTTCTTTCTCTCTCTCTCTCTCTCTATATATATATATAGCCTGTTCTCTAAATATATTGAGGTCTAATCCACAGTGTAGATGCAGCCTAAAAGAACTCTTAGATGCTCTTTGACTATAAGGTCTTCCAACTGAGAAAGGGCAAAAGACAAATACAATAGGAAAACTAGTCACTCTGGAATCTAAATTTGCAACTGAAATTTTCATTATTCCATCAGTCTAGGAAAGCAAGAAAAGGATTACCTATTCTGATTGTATATCTTATTCCTACCATCTTCTACACTTGCTCCTAGTTTTCTACCTAAAGGACATGGCCTGTAACATAAACTTACAAGAGCTCTATAGCAGATTTTTCAAGTTTGTTTTATATATATATATATATATATATATATATATATATATATATATATAACTGACATGTTAGTTCATTATGTGCAGGGATCTGTGTTTTATTTCTTGGGTCCAGATGGCAGTCTTTCTAGAAGTGAAGATGGGTAAACTGAGGTCTAGTCCACACTGCAGAACTAATGCAGTTTGATGCTGGTTAACTGCCATGGCTCATGCCTTGGAATTGTAGTTTTGTGAGATATTTAGCCTTCTCTGACAGAGTGCTCTGGCACCACAACAAACTACAAATCCCAAGATCCCATAGAATGGAGCCATGGCAGGTCAAGCGGGGTCAAATTGCATTATTCCTGCAGTGCAGATTAGACCTAAGATGGTCATATTTTAGACCTCTCATGAGACAACATGGAAAAAGAAGATAATCCACTTGGGAAAGTGGAAGGCAGTAGGAAAAGAGGGAGATTGTAGTATACATGGATTGATTCAGTGAAGGATGGCCCTGAGTTTGCAAGACCTTGATGAACAATTGGAGGTTTCTCCTTCATAGGGTCAACGTAAGTTGAAGTTGATTTGAGATCAAATAACAAATGGATGGCATGTTTGATAACTTTCAGAGACATAGCTACGTTAGTCTGGAGTAACAATATGCAATGGGATCTTGTAGTATCTTTGAGACTAACTGTGTGAAAGAAGTTATAGAATAAGGTTTCATTTGTTGTTGTTAATAAATAATAATAATATTTATTTATATCCTGCCCCTCTGCAGAGCAATCGGGGCGGCTTACAACATTGTTTTGTGTCTGCAAGTCATTTCCCACGTATAGCAACCCTAAGGCAACCCTATCATGGGGTTTTTCTTGGCAAGATTTGTTCAGAGGCGGTTTGCCATTGCAAACCTGAGGCTGAGAGCATGTGACTGGCTCAAGGTCACCCAGTGGGTTTCATGGCTGAGCTGGGACTCAAACCCTGGTCTCCAGAGTCACATTCCAGCACTCAAACCACCATGCCACACAGGCTCTTATAGGCTTGTCTGTTTCCTGAGATACATTCACTCCATGCCTCTGAGGAAGTAGACCAAGTCTGTGAAAGCTTCTGCTCCAACTTCTTTTGCAGAGTTAGTCTCAAAGGTGCTACAAGATCATTTTGCTTATCTGATAACAGCCCTATATAGGCATGCAAAAAAAGCATTAAATTACAGGTAGGAATTATGCAACCCACTTTTCACGCTACACAGTTATAGCACTATGATTCCAATTTAATTGCCACGGCGACATCCTGTGGAACCCTGCAGTTTGTAGTATGGCACTTGAGCTCTCTAACTGAGCATTCAAAGTACCTCTTCCTAAACTGCAAATCCCAAGATGCCATATGATGAAACCATGGCAATTCAAGTGGAATCGTAATGCTGTCATTGCGTTGTGTGAAAGGAGCACAGATGTTTGAGCAAGATTTGAAATTTTCAGGATCCTGGCTTGTGTGGAGACTCTCCGCTCATAGAAGAGACTCTCGTCTTTGGCATTGTCACTTTTCATGGTTTCAAAAGTGTGATGACTGAAGAGAGCAGGAATAAAACAATCCCTTCTTCGTGCGTGTCGATTTAATCCCTTTTTGCACGCCTGAAGAACACTAACGTAAATCCTCGCCTACCGGTTGTACTGATGTCACCTAGATATATGTTTTCCACCTCACTGAAAACCCAGTTTTCATAGACACGAGAGGCTACAAATCCCCTCGGATAAGAGGAACCATTTAGGAACCTGAGTTTTGAAAGCGTAAATAGCAATATATTAGTTATTTGTTCAACTTGGTGCTGCCAGTAAAATGCTTTCCTTTATTTCACAAAAAACATACTTATGTCACTCATCAATAATGACTGATAGCCATGAATATTACAGCATCCCACAGTAACAAAAGTACTGTTTTTTAATGAACAGTGTAGCTCGCTGTACTTTTATTTTCCTCCAGTGCTCTCCATCTGTGAACACTGAAAGTAAAAAAGCCTGCCAACAGTTGTCGGATGAAAACAGGTGCACTCTTTATATACATCATATGGGATGGCAGCGTCTTGGTGCTGCAAACCAGGCATTGACGCAGAGGCTGGGATGCTGTTATGCTCAAAAGGTTTTGGAAAGCTTTAATGAAAAGAAATGTGCCTTTCTGCCTCCTAATAAACAAACATAGATTTTAAAGTATGCCTGCAACAGCTAAATCAGTTCACTGTCTGGGAGATACTACTAAATATATTTCAGTTGATTAAAGCAACGTCACCAAGTAAGCCAAGGCAGCAGATATTTGAAATATTGTTAATTTTTAATGTAAGTGCTTGCAAGTCCCTTTAAGTAGCATGCACCATCTTAGACAAGGGCCTCCACCGTTTTTGATACATAGGACGGCTTTGCAAGATGGTGCTTGCTGTGACGCATGCGCATGATCTTAAACACAAAGAAATGATCGATTTCTGCAGAACCTGGGCTTTATTCACATAGGAATGTTGGAGGATTTGATGGCTTGATTAGACTGCTATCCTCTGTGCGTGTTTGCGCCTTCAAATCGCCTGTTGACTTATAGCGATAGCTGTTGACCCACAGTTATAGTTGACCCATAAACTTCATAGGGTTTTCTTAGATAAGGAATACTGAGGTGGTTTTGCCAGTTCCTTCTCTGAAATGTTGCATACTGTACCTGAGATTCCTTGGCAATCTCCCATCCAAGGACTAACCAGGGTTGACCCTGCTTAATTTCCAAGATCAGATGGGATCTGGTGCTTTTAGGGTATTTAGTCTCTGTGACTACTATCCTGGACATAACCGTACCTGAATGTAAGTGACCTCAGTGGGACTTACTTCTGGTTAAACATGCATAGGATCATTCTGTTACTCAATTTAGATTTTTATAATAATAATAATAATAATAATAATAATAATAATAATAATAATAAATATTTATTTATATTCCACCACAACTGGGTTGGCTTACACAATAAAACATACAGTTCCCTCTCCCAGTAGCCCCCCCTCTAAAATGCAATTAAACAATTATAATTTAAAACATACTTAAAAACAGGTAAATAACAAATGACAAATAAATTAAAATATATAGTGCAGCCATCTCCAACCAGGCATTCTTCAGATGTGTTGGGCTATGATTTCCACTATCTCTGGTCAGCATGGGTTTGTAGGAATTGCCAATCCAGTGCTCTTGGAGTATTGTCATTTGTTGCAGCACGAGAGCTCTCTGAGAGAAAAGGCTATCCCACAAAGCAGTGGCGAAACTGTATTATTTCTGCAGTGCAGATGCAGTCCAGGTCTCTCCAGTGTCCCTTCTCATAGCCAACCATGGCTCAGTGATACTCTTGGCAAGCCAACCTTGGATCCCAAACTCCAGTTTGATGCCTGATGGCTCTTCGATCTTTTCTTTGAGCAGGATGTCCCTACCAAGCTGGTAGCAAAGGCGGTTGCCCTGCCCATGACTGTGAGGGGCCATTGGTTTTTGAGTCCAAGGACGGAGTACAGCGTGGCGGTGCAAACGGCCGTGAAGCAGAGCGATGGGGAATACCTCGTGTCCGGATGGAGCGAGACTGTTGAATTCTGCACAGGGGGTGAGTGTTCGGGAAAAGGCCATGAGCATATGGGCTACTATGAGTCAAGGTGAAGCACCTTCCTTGTATGGTAGATCTCCTGTCCCATTAAAGAAGAGCTGTGTGGAAGACAACTCCAGTATTACCCATAGGGTACAACCCACTGACAAGGTCCCTGGTGTTAGCTCTGTTGAATAATTGACAATTGGTTTGGGTTGTCAGTAGAGGAATGCCAGTGAATTTTCAGCCCCTTCCAGAATATCCCAGGATGCTCCCTCGGTTCTTGAGTTTTCTTCTTTTTTAAAAGCCAGTACAAGTTGAGTCTCCCATGTCTGGAAATCTGAAATGCTCCAAAATCCAGAACTTTTTTCATGGGTGGCTGAGCTAGTGACAACTTTGCTTTCTGAGGGTTCATTGCACACAAACCTTGTTTCATGCACAAAATTACGAAGGATGTTGTGTATAAGATTGCCTTCAGGCTAGGTGTACAAGGTGCGTATTGAGATGTAGAGGAATTTTGTGTTTAGACTTGGGTCCCCTCTCCCAGTTATCTCATTATGTATATGCAGATATTCCAAAATAATAATAATAATAAAAAACACCTCCAAAATACTTCTGGTCCCAAGCATTTCAGATAAGGGAGACTCAACCTTATCAGAGCTGGCCCTATTTCGTGAAGCAGCTGCTTCAGCCAGAAAGGCTGGGTGGTGGTGGTTTTTGAACATCTTTCCCACCCAGCACTTCTCAGACTATTATATCCTGCCAAGACCAGCTACCAATGTGACAGCCTTTGCTGTGAGCCACAGTCCATCTTTTCTCCAGGATGGAATATTCTTTAAATTCATACTGCTTATCTTAAGGATGTCTGAAGGACTGTATCTCCCTGTATGAGCCTGCCTGAGCTCTAAGATCTTGAGGAACACCCTTCTCTCTATCAGACTACCTTTTCAGGCTTGTTTGGTGGGAACAAGAGAGAAGACCTTCTTGGTGGGTGCTCCCAGACTTTGGAATTCCTTCCTAGGATATTCCTTCATTGCTCTTCTGCTGGCAGATGAAAACATTTCCATTCCAGCAGAAAGTCAGGAATTCTGATGGGCTTTTAATGCTTCTCCCTTTCTCTCTTAGTCTGTAT